CGTGCAGATACCTCGATAGTCTCCTAAAGCCTGAAGCCTCGATCAACGACTGCCACTGGGACCAAAAGTGTCTGGATCTGCACACAAGGTGCGGGGGAGGGGGGAGGGGTAACGTGAGTACACCAACTCAGTAAGTAACGAGTCCAAACTATGGACTGAAAGGTAGTGACGAACTCAACCTCAACAGATATAATAGAGTCAACGTACAGAAAAGTAGGCATGCTTCCAGTTAAATAGACGGCTCAAAGCAATAAGGTAAATACAGATCTGAGCAGTTTAAGATATATAACTCAACTACCTCTACATGCCAATGCACCAACTGTATGAAATGCACAGTGTACTCCCACTCTCAAGTGCTCAACCACTCGGTACTGAATATGGCCATCCGGCCCAGGGAAACCCATCCCGGAACATATACAACACTGACTGTAAGTCACCCAGTACTAAGGAACAAGGGCAATCCAACCCTGTGGAGAAATCCATCTCCAAGTATATATAAATACTCAACCACTCAGTACTGTGTATGGCCATCCGGCCCAGGGAAATCCATCCCGGAACATACTCATCACTAACTATAAGTCACCCGGTACTGAGGAAAAAGGCTAATCCAACCCTGTGGAGAAATCCATCTCCAAATATCAATTCTTCGGACAAATCCATGTCCAGGAAAATCCATCCCTCAATAATATCATCCGCGCCCACTGGGGGTGTGCAGACTCTGGAGGGGCTCCTACGGCCCAAGCGCTATCATAATCAATATAACTGCTGTGGCGTGCAACCCGACCCATAACTGTTACTCATAATCATGCTCTCGGCCTCACTCAGTCATCACTCTCCAGTCTCACCCACGGGCTCACAATGTCATGGAAACTAGCCCGAAAACAATGATATGCTATGCCAATAATAACAACTGAGATTGAGATATAATATGAAATGCATGAATATGACTGAGTACAAAATAACAGTGAAATCAGTGAAATGACAGCAATAAACGACCACTAGGGGTCCCAACAGTATCGACGTGAAGCCTTAACATGATATCTAGCATGTTTTGCAGCTCAATTACTTTATCACATAATGGAAACAGGGATATCAGCAAGAAGTAGTCATTAGACGGTGCCATGGAATGAACCAAGTCACGATTCTCACGGTGCACGCCCGCACGCCCGTCACTTGGCATGTGCATCACCTCAATACTAACCACATAACACGTAGTTCGGGGTTTCGAACCCTCATAACCAAGTTTGAAAGCGTTACTTACCTCAACCAAGCCAAAATCCTACTCTGCGACGCCTTCGCCTCTCAAATCAGCTTCCAAACGTCCCGAATCTAATCACAAGCAATACAATATGATCAATATATGCTAAAGGAACCAATTCCACAAGAAAAATACCAAATTATAGGCCAAATCTCGAAATTCACACAAACCCGGGCCCTGGACCCATGCCTCGAAATTCGACAAAAATCACAAAACTAGAAAGCCCATTCACTCACGAGTCTAACCATACCAATTTCATCAAAATCCGATATCATTTTGTCCCTCAAATCCCCAAATTACTCTTTCCAAAATCCCAAGCCCTAACCCCTTATTTCACTTCAAAAATCCTACTAATTAGGTGGGAAATCAACGGGAAAATACCATAGCTAATGATAATAGAGCTCAAGCAACTTACCTCAGTGAAAACCCTTGAATCCCTTTCCAAAAATCACCCCAAAAGCTCCAAGGTCCGACTTGAAAATGGTGAAAATGAGCAAAAATTCACGAAGTCTTCTATTTATAGGTTCTGCCCAGGCTTTTCGCACCTGCGGCTCAATATGCGCACCTGCGGTGCTGCTTTTGCTCAAAAATATCCGCATATGTGGAAATCACTTAAATCCCCATCTCTGGACCCGCGCTCCTTATCCGTTTCTGCGACCTCGCAGGTACGGAAAGACCTCGCACCTGCGGCCACTGCCAAACCTCCTCTCTTCCGCTTCTGCAGGCTCGTAGATGCGTACAAACAGTCGCACCTACGGTCTTCCCCAATCCAACACACTTCCGCACCTGCGTCCATCCCATCGCACCTGCAGCGTCGCACATGTGGCAATACCCTCGCATGTGCGAATTACACCAGCAACATGCCAACTTCAGCAATTCTCCAAACTTCAAACTTGATCCGTTAACCACCCGAAATCAACCCGAGGCCCTTGGGACCTCAACCAAGTATACCAACATGTCCCATAAAATCATACGAACTTATTCGAACCTTTGAATCACTCAAAACAATATCAAAACACCAATTTACACTTGGATTCAAGCCTAAGAACTTCTAAATATCTGAATTCCACAAACGATGCCGAAACCCACCAAAACACTTTCGAATGACCTCAAATTTTGCACACAAGTCAGAAATGACACCACGGACCTACTCCAATATCCAAAAATCCAATCCGATCCCGATATCAAAATTTCCACTACTGACCAAAATCGTCAAAATTCCAACTTTCGCCAATTCAAGCCTAATCTACTACAGACCTCCAAATCACATTTCGGATGCGCTCCTAGGTCAAAAATCACCTAACGGAGCTAACGGAACCATCAAAATTCAATTCCGAGGTCGTTTACACATAAGTCAATATCCGGTCAACTCTTCCAACTTAAACCTTCTCATAAGAGATTAAGTGCCTCAATTCACTCCAAAACCACTCCGGACCCGAACTAACTAACCTGGTAAGTCAAAATACAGCTGAAGAATACAAAAGAAGCAGGAAATGGGGGAACAGGGCTATAACTCTCGAAACGACTGGCCGGGTCGTTACAAAACTAGAGTTTTATAATTTAATCTTTCAACCATTAAAATTTGTAAAAAAAAATGCTTCAAATACTTCTAACTACTCATAATAAACGAGTTTGAAGTATTAGAATTACCTCTAGTAGATCAATCTTGAAAAATCACAACTTTGGTAATTTTTGTATTCTTGAGGATTTGATGATGAAATCTAGTATTTGGATGTAAGAATGATATTAGAATTCATGTATATTGAGTAAACCTCTTTCATAATGACTCTTTTTAGGGAGTAGGATCTGTTGCCTAGGAGCTCAAAGAAAGATAGCGAAGAAATATTTTATTTTGAAAGCAAAGGAATCAACCCAAAGTATCATTAACAACTTACCTTAGTTGATTGGACTTGATCTGAGCTTAAAATCGCCTCTTCATCAAGAACCCTAACCTCAAAACTCAAAATACCCTCTCCCCCCGATTTTGTACTTATAGGCCCAAATTTCTGGGTTTCAGACGCTTCGCGTCCCCCGTTCACTCCTCCCCCAAGCTCGGATGCGGACCCGGATGCTATGGTAGTACTTCACTGCCGGCCTTTGGTAATTTGATCATATCATCTTGTAGGAATGTCCAAATGACAAACGGTTTGAAGAGTTAGAAACTAGAGTCGAACAACTTTCATTTGATAGGTTGTTCACCACATAAAACCTTATATATATAGACATGCTCNTATATATATATATATATATATATATATATATATATATATATATATATATATATATATATATATATATATATATATATACTCGTCCAAAGTTAGGTCTTGCGCGTACTCATTTGGAACTTTAGTCTATCATGTAATTTCCAACTTGACTTAGACTTAGGGCTCTCTTTCGATACAACATCACTTATAATATGCCTCGTACACTTATTATCATATCCAATTAATATCCATCATATTAATAGTCCTCGTCTGCACACAAAATAATATAATTAGCACGCATTAAATTTTTTGATAGCGCTTAAGCACTTTAAAATTTTCCGGGGTGCTACATATATGCTTCTGTCTAGTTATAAAATCACATCATCACACATAAAATAGAAAAAATAAAAATCAAATTATTTTTAAATATAAAAATATATCTTTTTTGGAGTGATTAGAAAAAAGTGTCAAATGAAGTTGACCGAGGAAGTAGTTTCATTTGCTCTTGTAATTGTTTATTCAAATAATGTTTAGATATAAGAGAGACTTGAAATATTATTCAAAAGATTGCATTATGGTAACCTATATATTTATTAAAAGGGGAGGTCTATGTTACTAAACAAAGAATAGGAGAACAAATTAAATAGTTAAGGTTAGAAATGGTAATTATGGAATATCATTGAAAATTATCTTTAAAACCAGTTTTGTTATTGAATATATCAATACAAGTTAGGGGTAAGTGTAGTATCTCAAATACAGGATACCAAAACTTTGGCATGAATGATCACCTAAGCCAGTTTTACAGCTCGTTCGGATTACATATTATTCTGAATGTATTGCATCATATTATATTGTATTATATGAATATGACATTTAGATAGGATTATATTGTTTTCGGCTGTTTCATAATGTCACACACCTTACAATATTACAAAAAAAAAGTAGATTATAGGGTAGAGTAATTATTAAAAAAGGTAAGATAAAGAATAAAATAAAATTATAGTAAGGGCAAGATGTGAATAAATTACGTAATAATGCAATCACATCAAATCGATCGTTACATAATAAAAAAGATTTTTTCATTGTTACGTAACAACAAATTTAACAATACGATACAACAAAATTTAAATTAACAATCAAAATAAATATTATATTTAAAGTAACAACAGGAAACAATATAATAGTTAACGACCTTCCAAACAAGCTGTTAAGCAAAGGGGAGTCACATTGTCGGATACGGATTCGGCCGAACCCAGTAGCTTTGGTTCAAATCATGTATTTGTTTTATGATTTTTATTAAATATGTATAAATAATTAATTTAGGACTCGATTATTAAAATAATTAGGATCCCGAACTCATAAATTTAAAATTCTAGCTCCGCTAGTGGTGTTAAGCACACTGCACCCTGTTTTCAACTTAAAATTTTTCCCAACTATACTCAACGACCCATTCTTTCTCCAAAAGAATACATTTTTCTCTGCATGTGGGGCTAAAAAATGTGATACTGTCTCATTCCCACCACTGTGCAAATTCCATGTTATTATTATTAGCATACATTTTGATGAGTAAATTTAAACAATTGTGTCAAACTTTTCTTGAAAATACAGTGTGAACATACTGTTTGGAGAAAACTTTCCTTATGTGGGGTATGGTTTTATTAGTTTGTTTGAATAGCAGACTTCAAATGTTGCCGTGTGAAGACTTTTCAAGTCATTCTAAGCCTTTGCCATCTTTGAACTCTTATTGGAGCTGTGTTTTCCCTATAAAATTTATCAAAATCCAAATAATACTGTCACATTTTGCAGCCTAAAGGTGAGTTTTTTTTCTTCAAGATTTTGAGTACCATTTTTTTGTGTCTATTGGTAGTCAAAGTAAAAGCTGAATATGGGTTTTTTTAATTCTCAGGAACTGTATTTTTGGGCATTTGGGTATTCCAAGAATTGAAAAAGATTGAATCTTTGTGCCCTGTAGATGGTGGGTTTTCTTCATTTCTGGTAATTTTACCTTTTTGGGTTGTTTTATATTGCTTGATTTATGCCTCAGTTTTCTGGTTTAGCTCTAGTCTTGATAATTAAGTATTGTCTTTGAGCAGTTGGTTCGTTTTTTGTGGTACAAATGAAACATAATGGATATTGAGATTTCATATAGGCAAGCCAATTAGTTTGGGATTGAGTGGTTGTTTCTGTTTCAAGGGTTTTAGAGCAATTTTTTTTTTGAGAGCCATGGAGCATATGTCCAGGGGCGAAGCTAGAAGCCCGACTATGGGATTGTTCGAACCCAGTAGTTTTTGCTCAAACAGTGTATTTGTGTTTAAAAAATTCATTAAATATGTATAAATATTAAAAATTTACAACCAGTTATTAGTACTTGAAGTCGTCGTTGTTCTAATATTTTGAACCAATAAAGTTGAAATCCTGGCTCCGCTTCAGCATTTGTCATTTGGGTTTTGTAGGAGAGACTTGATTTATCACCAATGGCTTCTCTTTTTCCATTTCCATGGGTTTGGTTGGTCAATCTTATTCGTGTCCTTATTTTTACTTGAACAAGGCATGCGACATTTTATGTTCCTTAAATTCTTCTATGTATTTTACAGACGGCCGTGTAATTAGATATTACTCCTACATACGATGTACAAAAATACATGCTATGTGTTACTATCATGACAAAAAATTGCTTGAATATTAAGGTTCCATGGTGGATCTGAATCTGCAGGGAGCGTATTTAAGTACTATACTGAAGGATATGAAGTGTTTTCAGTTCTACACTGGTGACAAGAAGGAAGAACCTAAGACTGTGACGTCAAATTCCGTCTTATCCTCCTCTTCTGCACTTTCTGATCGTGAATTTAGGAATTCGCGTCTTGAGTCCAGCTCTCAGAATGCATCTGATACGAGCGCAGAGTCCAGAGGACGGAGCCAATTTCCAAGCTTGTCCGATAGGCCTTCCAATCTCAGGGTATTTACATTCTCAGAACTGAAATCAGCAACGAAGAATTTCAACCGTACTACCAAGATTGGGGAAGGTGGATTTGGATGTGTATATAAGGCCACTGTAAAGGGTGGTGAGGATTCAGTTAAAAAGATTGACGTTGCTGTAAAACAACTTGGTAGGAGAGGATTACAGGTAAAAACATTCTTTTTTAAGCTCGAATAATTATGTATTAGAAATATTAGGATCTTGCTCTTTGACATCTCTATTTATTAGGTGTTGGTACTTTGCTGTTAATGCTTTGTGCGGTCACACTTCATTTATTTCTCTTACCATTTAAGCCTGGTACGGAGCTGTATCAGAAAACTTTGGCAATTTCTTAAGAAGGACAGAAAAACTTGATAGAACAAAGCAATCTACTCTACAGTACGAAGTCGCTAGGGAAATATTTTAACTTTAATGTTAGGACATCTGTAGAGCCACAACAACATATATACATACTCATTTGAATTGGCTTGATGTATCAAAATGTATGATCAAAACTGTGCACATGGAAGCCCATGGATTTGAGTGATTTATTTTTTGGGGTAAAACATGTCCTTTCTTTTGTATATTTCCTTCGCCCCCCCCCCCCCCCCCCCCCTTTTCTTGAGGTATAGTGATGTGCTTGCCGCATCTAAATGGCTAAAAGAATGACCGGAGATGCAAACTGCACATATTTGAAGAATTGTAGATGGCTGAATCTAGTCAAACCTCTATAGTTGGTTAACTAGAAAAAGTCCGACTTCTTCTTCCAACATGGGATAGCTCCAATTAATATGGTTCGGTGACAAGTACTGGTTTCTTACTTTGCCCTGGTGAGTAAATCTTTCGATGGTTGAGAGACCATTGGAAACCATCGAAAGATAGTTGTTTAGCTTGCCCTATTGAATCATTCTTCTAAGGCAGATGAGTGATTGGTGATTTGTTGACTGGTATTTGTTTTGGATTGTTTATTACTGCCTGGAAAATTTGCCTTAAATGGAGGTTTTGTCCGATATGACCTTTCAAATATGCCCAAAAATATGAATAGCTAATAGCCTAATAGAAAAGGGTTTATTTTTCCCATTGTTTTAAGATGTCTAATGTCTAGACACATTTTCTTATTCTTGCATTCATCTTATATGCGACTTGAGCAGAGGGATACTGAACTTCTACTTTTCTTACTCCAAGATCAACATCATTGTTTTTCTTCACTGGTGTTTTGTGGAACTGCTCTATATTTTTGTTATTTACCCTCAAAAGAGTGGAATACGCTACTAGTTTGGCATTGAGCTGTAGTTAGTTGATATTGTTGATTGATTGATCCTCTTTTATTCAAAAACTTTTATGGTCTAGTCCTAATTTTTAGAATAACGTACTATTCTTGCTTCTATACAATAGGGACACAAAGAGTGGGTGACAGAAGTCAATGTTCTTGGGGTGGCTGAACACCAAAACCTCGTCAAATTAGTTGGCTACTGTGCAGAAGATGATGAGAGAGGAATCCAGCGCCTTTTGGTGTATGAATACATGCCTAACAGAAGTGTCGAAAACCATTTGTCAGCTAGGTCAGAAACGCCTCTCTCCTGGGCAATGAGGTTAAAGATAGCCCAAGATTCTGCTCGTGGCTTAACTTACCTACATGAGGAAATGGATGTTCAGGTACTTTTGCCACTTAGCTATATATATATATATAAAGGTGTAAATGTGTAACTAGCAAACGGCACTTCAGCCCCTCTGTATCTTGTTTTTGTTGGCTCAAGTTGTAAATGTTTTGAGTCAGCTATCGTTCTTAAGCCTGATGTCTCTCTTTTTTTATATTTGTAGATCATCTTCAGAGATTTCAAATCTTCAAACATTCTCTTGGACGAGCAATGGAATGCAAAGTTATCAGATTTTGGACTGGCTAGGTTGGGACCTCCTGAGGGTCTAACCCATGTCTCAACTGCGGTATGCTCCCATAACTTGTTGAGATGCTTCTCAATACATATTAGCTGACAAGATCTTTTCCTTTGGTCTTTTTCACTTATTCTTGCTTGTTTATTAGTTTTTCTAATTAATGTAGGATACTAGGATATTGAGAGACTTTCATATAGACCCAGGGGTGGAGCTAGGAGCCCGAGTACTAATTTGGCCGAACCCAATAACTTTTTCTCAAACAATGTATTTGTATTAAAAAATCCAAAAAATATGTACAAATATTGAATTTAGAACCCAGTTATCAGTACTTGAAGTCGTTTTAAATCCAGAACCCATAAAGTTAAAATCCTAGCTCCGCCTCTATATAGACCTAACTCGTTTTCTTGGAATGATCAACTATAATCTACCTAAATTCTTCACTGGACTTCTTTGCTAAAGATAGTCCTCCGACTAATTTTATTTTTCATCCCTGTTACTTTTTAACAAAAGACGGTCCAGACTCATTGACTTTTGCGTGACTTCATTTTTGGTCCACTGTCAGTTCAGCGAAATCTAGTCCTAACAACATATGCTCCTTTAGTAAAAGATTATGTCAAAATCCAGTAAAACCTCTATATTTCACTTGCACCAGGTACTATGTCAAAGTATTTGAATCTATTTTTAATTTGTCATTTGACCAGATGATAAGGTTTGGTATATCTAGTTAATAAGTCCTTGAAATAATTCTACATGTGTTCGACCTATATGTTCAGAGGCAGACCTATGTTGTAAAGAGAGGGGTCACTGGCACCCGGAAAGTTCGGTAAAAATTCCATGTATACATGTACATGTCCTTAAAAATATTGATATATTAGTAGTGACACCCTATATACAAAGCAGATTTTGGTTGAGTACAAAAGCTCCCCCACGACCTTCAAATCCTGGGTCCACCGCCCCTGTATATGTTGAATGATGTACATATCCACTAACTTAACTTTTAAACATAAGAAGACTGAGAAGGTAAAGCAAATTCAACACCAAAACCACCCCTTGTCCCTAGCATGCTTTCCAAGCCTTTTCTTCCCCCTTTAACAACCTAGCTTTTATTTCGTTTGCTATCTTTTATCAATTCTGTGTATTATTGGTAACACATAGAATCAGACAGCATGTCTTAATTATATTATATTAATCTCTCTATTGTATCAGGTTGTTGGAACAATGGGATATGCAGCTCCAGAATATGTTCAAACTGGCCGTCTCACATCCAAGAGTGATGTGTGGAGCTATGGGGTCTTTCTATATGAGCTGATTACTGGTCGACGCCCATTAGATCGAAATCGTCCTAGGAGTGAGCAGAAGCTCTTAGAGTGGGTAAAACCATACATATCAGATTCTAAGAAATTTCAGCACATATTAGACCCAAGGCTTGAAGGTAAAATCTCAAGGTCAGCTCAGAAGCTCTCTATTGTCGCCAACCGCTGCTTGGTGAGACATCCAAAGTCAAGGCCGAAAATGAGTGAAGTCCTGGAAATGGTGAATAAAGTTGTCGAATCATCAATAGGAGTAGGAAATCCTGAACCACCTGTGAAAATTGTGGAACCAACTTCACCAGAATATGAAAGAAAAGGTAAAAGGAGGATAAGTGATACCAAACTTGGAGATGGTGGCCGGTTAGTACGCATGTGGTCAACAAAGCTGATAAACACCTGTTAATAAAATAATTTCCGATATGCAAAAAAAAATGAGAGGAAGAAAAAGTTAACTAAAACATTATATCCGCGAATTGACAGCATGTGGTGACTTTGGACATTATATTCGACTTGCTGCAGAGTTTTCTGGGGATCTATAACGATGAATGAAGGCGGTTTGGCATTTGATACAACAATTCTAAGGAAGAGTCTGAAGCTCTCATGGTAATACTAACTTGATAGTTTTACTCTTGATTAAATGTGGCTTTTTGCCTCTCTACCTTTACCAGGTGGGGGTAAGGTCGTGTACACACTACCCTCTCCAAACCCCACAAGAAGGATTAAACTGGGTTTGTTATTGTTGTTGTTGTTGATTAAACGTGGCTTCTATAATTTCCACGATATGCAAGAAATGACTAAGATGAGAAACTTCTTCTTGTTATACTGTTATACATGAAAATTAGTGATACTCCTTGATACAGAGAAATGGAGTATAGTGTTATTGAACTAATTTCTATTATGAGTCACATTTGTTAGGAATGTAATCTGAAACAAATGACAAGAGTGGGTTGCTCTAGTGGTGAGCACCCTCCACTTCCAACCAAGAGGTTGTGAGTTCGAGTCACACCAAGAGCAAGGTGGGGAGTTCTTGGAGGGAGCAATGCCGAGGGTCTATCGGAAACAGCCTCTCTACCCCAAGGTAGGGGTAAGGTCTGCGTACACACTATCCTTCCCAGACCCCACTAGTGGGATTATACTGGATTGTCGTTGTTGTTGTTGTTGTAATCTGAAACAAACATTCAAGTGAAATATTGGATCCTGTAACTAGATTATTTCAATATGAACATGGAAACGAGCTTTTAGTGGCATTAGATGAGCAGTTTTCTGGAAGGCCATCTTTTAACTTGACAATTCTTGGAATATAAGAGATGCCTTGTATTGACAACTCTGCTAGCTATAATGAAAGAGAAAGGTACAGAACAGTATATTAGTTTGATAATGTTATTAACCTTGATTCAAAAAGATTTCAAAACCCACCTTGATTTATAGTAAACTTGTTTGTTTAATGTTCTTGTGAACTCTTACACAATTAATGTTACTTTCCTTGAGTGAACATCTGGTGATTTACATCTTGTGTTTAGGTAAGTCAACAAAAGGAAGTAAGAATACTACTATACTACTCAGGGGCGGAGCTAGGCGGACGGAAGAGGGTTCAGTCGAACCCCCTTTGCCGAAAATTATACTGTAATTTTTTTTTTCCATGTATGTTATTAGGTGTTGAATTCCCTTATTTGTGTGTTTTTTTTTAATCCCCTAGGTGAAAATCCTACTTCCGCGATTGCCTGTATTTTAACTCACCCCAGAGAAAGAAAGTACTAGTAATCTATAACTATTTTGCTTTCATTGACTGCTCTTTAATGCAAATCCTTTCTTGGTAGTTGTCATCATTCAAATATCAGATGACTAGTGCAAAAATGTATTTATTCATGGTTTTAATACCCCAGTCATATCAGTACCTCAGCATTACTGGTGACCTTTTGACTAGACCATTATTGTCAAGAAGCCATTTACATAGTTTTTCCATCAAAAAGTTTGATTACCCTTTTTAAAAGTATTGTTCCTTATTGAAATGATTTCATGGTCATCTTTCCACCTAGGATGGTTGTCAATGCTGCCAAAAACTAGGCAATTGGCTAGTGGTTTAGAATTCTAGATCAGAATCTCACATTGGCTAAAGGATGTGGTGCAGTGGATGAGATTGCTTTTCCCTTAATCAAAAGTTTCGGGTTCGAGCCCTGGGTATGAAAAAAACCTTGGTAGGGAGCACCTTCCCCCAAATGGGGCCTTACGCGGCGCTAATCCGAATATGGTCGGGCTTCAATGCGGGTACCGGATATCGGGTAGAAACAAAAAAAATTCAGACATTGGACTTATGTTTTGAGTTGAGAGAGCGATTTCTAAAATATATATATATATATATATATATATATATATATATATATATATATATATATATATAAGATCAATCACACACATATATATATATATATAAGATCAATCACACCGAAAATAGCATTTCAATATGAAGATGTGATGCCTTGTTCTTTATTAATATTTAACAGAAAGGTAACAAAGAATATTTATAGAAAGGCGGTGGCCAACATTGACTTTGACGGATTGGGAAATATATGACAAAAAGGAGGAAAAGGAAGTGATTATATGATGCAAGAAAAGAATCCTTTTCTGTTTTTTCCCAGAATAGGTTCACACTTTCTCCAGCATATACTACAGTGCCTTTAGATCAAAGAAAAGTTTCTGCTTTCTAATTTTTCCCTACTATATCGGGTTGCTCTAGTATATGAAATCGGCTTTATACATAGAGTAGCGTTCTATCCTAGCTAGTTAGAGGCGGACTCAAAATTTGAAGGTTGCGGGAGCACATAAGCAGGCTGCTCAATCAGTGCCCTCGTTGACCTTTGATCTTAAGAGTTCCAAGCAAAATATATGACTATTTTTAACTTATACTAGTATCTATGAACGTGCGTTGCANAAGCCAGAGAAGCACTTCGTTCTGGAGACAAAGAAGACAAGATAGACTAATAGGTCCACTTTGGTAAACGTCAATCCCAATCTGACCGAGATAAGTTGCTTGAGAAATCTTTGAAAACGTGCCTCCTTGGTCCGGCGATGGTGTCGGAGCGTTTCAAAATAGACTAATTGATAAAGAGGAAACTTAGTGCTTTCATTATTGAATAGCGTATCAAAGTAGAGAGAGAGAAAATAGTGTAACTGAATAGCGTATTTAGTGGCTTAGGGCTAGAAGGTAACCAAAATTAAATATTTTGCTATAAACCTTAAAAGGTATCTATAGAATATAATTTTTTTAAATGGTATTTATTTAAAATAAATAAGGTGTTAACCTTTGCTATAGGAGGTAAAAATTCCTTTTTTAATAGTATGAGATCTTTTGGAAAAAACCGTGCGGGCTTGCCTCAAAGCGGACAATATCACACCGTGTTAAGAGTATCTTTGGATAGTTTTAGCCCAACAACTGGTACTAGAGCCCAGGTTCGACGAGAGGAGTATCGAGATGGCAAAGTGATGGTGCGGCTGGCGCGCACACAAGAAGAAGCTAGCTGCGAGCTTCGGTTACCATAATACTCTAACAATGTGGGTGAGTAGTCAGCCACGGAAAAGACCCATGAATTGTGGTGGTGAGCCACGTAGAACTTAGTTCGATGGGGATATTGTTGGGTTTACGAACAAATTCCGACATTGGTAGCTGAAAACATTGGGAGCCGACATATAAATTGTATGTATCTCTTAATGCTGTGATGCCTTTTGGGTAAAAACCATGTAGGCTTGACATAAATCGGACAAAATCACACCATATTAAGAGTAGGGTCGTTTTTGTTAGAGTATATCTATTTCATTATCTACTGCTTGTATTATTTAATTTTTANNGTGAAACATGGGATTACAGCTGGACAGATTATTGTATTCGACTGTATTCGACTGTATTCACGGTGTGAAATAGGGGATTACACTGTTTTTAAAACGGAAAGTGAATCAATTAACATAATAGACTCCTAATATAACTCAACAAACTCAATTATAACACACAAATTTTGTATTTTCAGTTATAAAAAAGATTTTCAACCGAAAAATACCCCAAAAACATAGCAATCTACAGTGAAATTATATAATACATCTGAATACATAAATTATATTAATGAAAAAAAACATATGAATACATTCATGGCATATAGCGAGACAGTGAATACAATGAAATACATAGAATACAACGGGATACATTGAAATACAATGAAAAAAAGACAGTGAATACAATGAAATACATGGAATACAACGAGATACATTGACTTACAATGAAAAAAAAGACAATGAATACAATGAAATACATGAAAATACATTGAAATATATTAACAGAAAATCAAGTTGCTCAGCCCCAAACTCCATCGTCTTTGCTCAAGAACAAACCCTAATTTCCGGCGATTCCGCCGTAGCAACGTTTGAAGGTACAACACTGTCCGCCGTTCCGTCGCCGCTGCTCCATCGGCCACCGTATCCAAGGCTTTATATTTTGTCGGTGGTCAGATTGAATTAATTCTCTTTCTTCTCTTTGCTATCTAAGGTTCTTCATAGTTCATGGCATTGATTGTTTCTCTGTTTGGTTCAACGACTAATTCCAGGTTCAGCTATTAACTCCCTTTCTGAAATCAGTTAGTTTTGGTTAGGGATTTGATTTGCTTTTAAATCGCAATTCAATATTCGGTGCAAGAATTGATCGGAATGAAAAGAAAATAGTGTGGGTAAGAGGAATTTTGAGATTGAGCATCGTGTTTTCAGGGAATGGGGGAAGAGAATGTGATGTATCAAAGTAGAGAGAGAAAGAAAATAGTATAACTGAATAACGTATTTTGTGGCTTAGGGCTAGAAGGTAACCAAAATTAAATATTTTGCTATAAACCTTAAAAGGTATCTATAGAATATAATTTTTTAAATGGTATTTATTTAAAATAAATAAGGTGTTAACCTTTGCTATAGGAGGTAAAAATTCCAAATATTATTTTGATTCCGTCGAGGCATCTACAAGGAATAATCCCGCTATACCAGAGTCAACTCTTTATAATATAGTCTTGAAAGCTTGTTCTTGTTTAGGATTTAGCTTTGATTGTATGCTTCCTTAGACACTTGTATAATATTTTGATTCTTAATAATATACTAACTTTTTTATTTTGTGTCCTAATTTTTTTAATCTCTAATGCTCTTTTTATGAAATAAATTTATGTATCCTAGTTTTTTCTAAAAACGAATAAGAATTTTACTCATATGATGAATTTAAAAAATAATTGAATCGGATTCTCTTGCTAAATAATTAATTAAAATATTTAATTATTTTGTTTTAACATAAAAAATAATTTATTCTATGTTGGTTCAAATCTTAGTATTAGTTCATCTCTTGTTCTGAATATTTAATCTTAATTATGATTTTATCCGTCATAAATTTTATTTTCAAATAGTAAAAAATTGATATGACATTTCACCTTTAGATCTTTATATTTGTAGAATCATTAGTGGTACTGACTCTTACCAACTGTTTTTTTCTCTTTCTCACACATTTATATTCTTAAATATTTTCTTAAGTGTTGCTTAATGATTGAGTATTTTTCAGTATTACACGAAAAATTGAATAAATAAATATTATTTGAGTAGATAAATATTTCAAATATAATATAAAAATATATTATCGTGGGGATATTATTTTTTCTCAACTTCAACTCTTTATGCAGTCCATTTAATATTACTTTTATTTATTGGTAGACATTATGGAGTGGTAATTTTGTTGCCAATACGAAGGATTCTTATGAAGTTGATTTTATTAAACCTTCCTACATATTTTTAATAAGCATTTAATAGAATTTTTTTAATTAATTTAAAATTTTAAATATTAAAATTAGCATAGAAGATATTGTAGTCCAAAAAATAGGT